TGGTTGCTTATATCTAAACTATAGCAAAAGCTGACCTTGAACTTGTGACCCTCCTGCCCACATCTCTGAGTAGTACAAATATTATAGTCAAATATCATCACATCCAATTAACTATTAAGAAAGTAACAATTTTTTAAGCCAAAGATTTTAATTTATGGTTCATTGCTATTCTAGATCATCTATATATATCTCCAGTGCCTTGTACTTAATTTTAATTACTTTTTTTTACATTTTTTTAATTACTTTTTTTACATTTTTTTAAATTTTAAAATGAATGAATAAACAGATGAATGATGAAAGCATTCTACATGAAGTGAGTCAGTGCTTCTGTAAGAAGTGGTAGATGAACTTTAATTTACAAATGAATTAGTAAGTCAGAGATTCATCTGCCTCTGCCTCCAGAGTGCTTGGATTAAAGTTGTATGCCAACATAGCCTGGCTATGGATATATTTTTAAATTAAAGACATATTACTGCCTTTTCCTTTTAGGGTGATGTTCACCAGGCACTTATTGTTCTTCAAAAGGGTGTTGAATTATGCTTTCCTGAAAACAAATCCCCAACTGAGAGTAAGCACATGCTAATCCATGGTCGAGCTACACTGCTAGTTGGCCGGTTTATGGAAGAAACAGCTAACTTTGAAAGCAACGCGATTATGAAGAAATATAAGGTGAGTATGTGTGTACTGTAAACCATTTAATTTTTTTGTCAATGATGTCTTTTTCGGTCTAGAATCCAATTCAGGATCCTATACAGTATTAGCTGTCATTTATTATTATTGTTATCATTATTATTATTAACATATTCCAGTATATCCAAGATACCTTTATAGTGAATATAGGTAGAAAATAGATGGCAAATTAAAAGAGATAATCAACAGTTTAATAAATAACTATGTTAAAGGAAATTAACAGAGGATGGTGATTCAGTAGCATTTCTAGATCCGAAGGAACAAGATGCGAGAGGATTTCCTGGACTAAAGGATTATTATTGTAGGAAGGAGTAATTAGACCACACCTGAATTTAGGAGCAGAAACAGCTCAGTAGGAAGGAAACCAGAGAATATGACAACCTTGACCTCACTCCTACTCTCTCATACTTGATTAGAAGCTAGAGGGTGAACAGGCTCAATAATAGAATTAGCAGAATTGCATCCTTAAGTGGGATAAAGAAGCTATAGAGTAGTAAGTATATCTATTGAAGAAAACAGAGACTAGCCTCCAAACATATATACAAACCTATAAAGATTTTGTAATCAAAATATTATATTCATACACAGTTAAGTAAACCAGAAGAACAGAACAAAGCCCAGACAGGCTATAGATTATTATAGGGTACTAAAAAATAGTCTTCAAGACATGGTGCTATGTCATTTAGACATTTTACGGGGTAAGAGAGTTGATCCCTTCACATCATAAACAAATCAACTGTTAGTCTAAGTTAGAATTTCCTTGTTAGGGTGGGATGGGCAGTTGAAATCAGATCTTGCCTTGTATCTCTGGCTGGCCAGGTACTTACTTGGGCATCTCATACTAGTTTCAAACTGGTGACACTTTTGAAAACCTTAGCAACCTTAGTGCATCATGGTGAGACATATCTATAAACAGACTAGTAACACTAAGCATAAGAGAAACTGTAATTTCATAAGAGGCTAATATAACAATATAATATGAATATAATCTGACCTATCATGCCTGCAAAGGTTATAGGCAAGAATGTTCTTTTTGAGATGGGTTTTGGTTTCTGATTCTTGGGGTGGGAGAAGTTGGAATTGCATATGTTAGACAGGATTTTACTTGGCCTGGAACTCACTCTGTCTGTCTGTCTGTCTGTGTGTGTGTGTGTGTGTGTGTGTGTGTGTATCTCCATCCCAGATTTGTCTCAAACTTACTGAATACTATTTGTCTCAGCTTCCTGAGTGCTAGAATTATAGGTGTTGCCTGCCACATCTGGCAAAAATGTTTATCAGCATCATATATTTGAGCTTATTGTTCTGATGGAATACTATGTATCAAACCAAAGTAACACGCAATAACTTGAATTTGCTATGTGATACATACTCTTGATGTTTAATCACCTATTACTACTTTATGCCCCAGCCAAGGGGAAGATTTGCTTAGATATGTAACATATGTCTTTTTTATAGGATGTGACCTTGTTTCTGCCAGAGTGGGAAGATGGGCATTTCTACCTTGCCAAATACTATGACAAATTGATGCCAATGGTAACAGATAACAAAATGGAAAAACAAGGTGATCTCATCCGATATATAGTCCTACATTTTGGAAGGTAAATATGAGAACTTCATGTTTGAGATTAAAAATGGATGAATGTTATCACATACCATAGCATAATCAGGGCTTTTCCTGTTTTACTATGCTTGAATCCAGTCTACAATGTAATTACAGAGAATATTTTTCTTTCTTTTTTTCTTTCCTTATTTTATGTATATGAGTGTTTGCCTACTTGCCTGCATGTATGTTTATTTACCATGTGCATGTGTAGTACTCTTGGGAGCCAGAAGAGGGCACCAGATCTCCCTGGAACTAGGTTACAACTGTAAACAGCCTTGTGGGTACTGGTAACTGTCAAGTCCTCTATAAGAGCAGCCAGAACTGAGCCATCTCCCATCCCAGAATATTTTTCTTCATACAGTTTTTCTCCTTTGTCTTCAAAAATACCTTCTGTGTGTATGTAGAAAAAGTTTATAGATATAGGTTTATAGAAAAGGTGTTATAGTTACAGTTTTAGAAAATCAACAGTACTAGACTACAGACATAACTCAATAGTAGAACACTTGCCTAGCACATTTAACCAAAAACTATTTTTTACTCAGCTTTTTTCTGGAAATGGTTGGCCCATACCGATAATCCCAATACTCAGGAGGCTGTGACAGTCACCTTTCAGAAGACCATAAACTTAATATGTTTAATTATTAAATTTAATGGTAATTGAGTGTATCTTCCTAGTCAAATCCAGTAAAACAAAACAAAAAACAAAATAAGGGCATTATTTTGAAGTTATATAGAATAAAGAGCTTGGTTTTCTCCTTATTTTGCTTTTGCATTTTAGAGATAGAGTCTTGCTCTATAGCTCAAGATGCTCTTGAATTCATACTTTGCCTCAGTGTTCTCAATTCTGACATTACAGGAGTGCACCACCACGTCTGTCAGTAGCCTGTTCTTGAACTAGGCGGAGGATGAAATAGAGCCTTTTGTTTTGTTTTGTTTTGTTTTGTTTTGTTTTGTTTTGTTTTGTTTTGTTTTGTTTTGTTTTGTGAGGTGGGATTGTATAGGGCCCAAGCTAACCTCAAACTCACTATGTAGCTAAGTCTGGGCTTGACCTTCCTGATCCTCCCGCTATGATTGGAATATAACTTTAATTTCAGATGCCAATACATATATAGATCTATGTATATGTTTACATCTATATAAATATATATAGTCATGCTTAGTATTTATATTTGGCAATGTATTAATTTTTCAGTACATAATTCTTGTATTCATATGCTGTTACTTTCTAGTGAAGAACTCTGACGTAACAGCAATAAATTTATTAAAATCCCTTATTTTTAGGTTTTATTTTTCATAGTTAAATATTGCTTTCCAGTAATTAAAGCAAATTTTATGTATTCCATATTAGAGTAACATTTAGCTAAGTTTCATTTTCCTAAGAAAATTTCAATTTTTGAAAAATCTAGACTTAATTTCATCAATTTGTTTCCAAAGCTATAATTGCTAATAATTATAAATATTGTTGATTTTCTTTTTTTTTTTTTTTTGGTTTTTTGAGACAGGGTTTCTCTGTGTAGCCCTGGCTGTCCTGGAACTCACTCTGTAGACCAGGCTGGCCTCGAACTCAGAAATCCGCCTGCCTCTGCCTCCCAAGTGCTGGGATTAAAGGTGCACGCCACCACCGCCTGGCAATTGTTGATTTTCTTAATGGCTGTGTTATTAAAGGAGTAGTCATGGCTTGTTGGTATTTGAAATGGAATCAGAAATAAGAAAATTATTAATTGAGTTTTTAAACAATTTTTAATTTTTTTTTACTCTTAGTATATATCAGGGCTCTTAATATATAGAATGTATTCATTACATTTCTGAAATCACACTTCCAAGAAGAAAGGTAATTTACATCGGGGTTTGTTTTTCTGTCTTTCAGTTGTTATTGTTTTTGTTGTTTATGGGGATTTTGTGTGTGATAGGTTCTTGCCTATATAGCCCGAGCTGGCCTCTCAATCTTAGCTTCCTGAATGCTAGGATTATTAAATGTATATAACCACTGACAGCTTCTACAGTGTGTTTATAGCTGTGATACTATAAATTTTGGATTTTATACTAGTTTTTAAAGATTTTATTATCATATTTCCTTGTTTAATTTTATGTGTTTTGCCTGTATGTATGTATGAATATGTACCATGTATGTGGTTGGTGCCTATGAAGGTCAGAAGAGGGCATTGAACCCTCTGGAAACTGAAGAAATAATGAATGATAATAAACCACTATATAGGTGCTAGAAATACTAGGTTCTCTGCAAGAGCAACAAGTGCTCAAGTGCTCTGAAATACTGCACCATCTCTCCAGCCCCTATATTTGTATTTTTAAAAGAGTAAAAATTAGCTATTGAGATATACTCATTTGAATATCTGACTGTATCTTAAATAACTATGTTACTACTGCTTTAGTTTGAATGTTTTCCTTAAAAACAATTTAATTATATTACATTTAATGAAACCTTGCTGGGCAGTGGTGGCGCACGCCTTTAATCCCAGCACTTGGGAGTTCTGAGTTCGAGGCCAGCCTGGTCTACAGAGTGAGTTCCAGGACAGCCAGGACTACACAGAGAAACCCCGTCTCAAAAACACAAACAAAAATATGAAACCTTAAATATATAAAACATTTAGATAAAAGTTTGTAATAGTTTGTGTGTAGATATAAAAATGAAGGATACAAATATTGAAAGAAAGAAAAAAAGAAAAGAAAAGCAAGCAAGCAAGCAAGCTTACCTGCCTGGCAGAGAAGTTAAAGATTGAGGATCAGTAGGATGCCTTTTCTTAGGCTGAGCTTAGCCATTGTACTCAAGATGTGCTGTCATATGTGGTTTCTCCAAATGTGGGAAAGCTACTGCATAATTTGTGGTAGTAAGGGCGTGTGTTCCCACTTTTCCCTGGGATTGGATGGAGATGTATATGCACCATACCAGAAGCAAAGCAGACACATGTAAAGGTTATATACTCTGGGAAAATCTGTGATAAAAACTCAAGCTACTGGCTTCATGATTATAAACATAGATCTCTTTCTGCATCATCTGTAAAGGGGGAAAAAACATGAAGAAAAATGTAGAAATGAAATCTCTCAGAAATAGAATGATTAGGCCTGAGCATTAAGCTTACTACCATGGAATACAAATTGAGGTACAGATTTTAAGGACCATATTAAGTATTAAAAAGCCTTTTTGACTAACTCAAATCGTATATAATTTTTGATGTGAGCTACTTGAGTACTTTAGCAAGAAAAGATAAAAGAAGGGAAAATAACCTACTATGAAGAAATATCAGTACCATTGTTTCAGGGGCTAGGGCTATATCACAGTAGGTAGAGTGCTTTCTTAGCATACCTGAAGCCTTGGGTTTGGTAGGTGGCACCAAATACTCACCCATGCCTGTAGTCTCTAACTTAGGATATAGAAGCAGAGGATTCAGGGTCTCATACAGCTATATACTGAGTTCAGGGCCAGATAGATGGATAAGTAGGTGATATCATAGTTTTTATCAGAAGACTGTACATAACTAAAGTTTAAGCTTTTACATTCCAGTTCATATAACCTACAAAAAACCTCTGTGGTAATGGTATTTCTCGCTCATGTAATTGCAGATCTCTTCAGTATGGAAATCAGTTCATATATCAGTCAATGCCACGAATGTTATCGCTATGGCTTGATTTTGGTGCTAAGGCATACGAATGGGAAAAAGGTATAACTTCATGTAAAAATTTTAAAGCACTAGGAAGAATTATAACTTTGGTATAAAATAACATTTGGCATCACAATTTCACTTTATAAAAACCAGTAAATAATTTGATTATTAAAATATTATAATGTAAGAAACATAAGTGTGAGGGGCTGGAAAGATGATCCAGCAGTTAGAGCACATACTGTTCTTGTAAAAGACCTGAGTTTAATTCCAGTACCATATCAAGCAGTTTACAACTACTTATAGCTCCAGCTCCTGAGAGATCCAAAGCTTTTATCCTCCTACAGGTGCATGCACTCATATGCATATGTGTGTGCTACACCCACACAAACACTAACATATTCTTGAAAAATAATAAAAATTAATCTTATGAAAACAAATTAAGTGTGAAAAAAGGGAAAGATAAAACCATAGACACAAAGTAATTGTAATTCAGGAATGGAAAGAAATAGTCTTTTCATTTCTTGATAACCCTAATACTTTGAAAGATGTCAGTTTAAGCACGTAATACCATAAAACTTCCAGCAGATGATGAAAACAAATGCCTTTTTGATCTAAACGCTTCTATTTACACAGTCTTGTCAGACAGCTAGCCGGGGGGCATAAAATGTCGTATCTTTAAAGGTGTTTTTCTCAGGTTGTTTTTTTTTTTTTTTTTTCTGTGAAATGAGTTGAAATAATGATGTTTGTTTTTCCTGTCTTAAACTGATTTGCCCTCAGGTAGTCGTTCTGATCGTCTGCAAATGAGAAATGATTTGGCTAAAATAAATAGTGTACTCACAGAGCATACAAATCGGTTGGCACCATATCAGTTTTTGACTGCTTTTTCGCAGTTGATCTCTCGAATTTGTCATTCTCATGATGAAGTTTTTATTGTCTTGATGGAAATAATAGCCAAAGTATTTCTGGCCTATCCTCAGCAAGCGATGTGGATGATGACTGCTGTGTCAAAGGTACTAATCATTAGTCAGTCACCACAGTGTCTTCGACTACTTATGTCCTGTATTTTTAAAGCAAGTATATAAATACAAATTCCAGAGTTCTGGCCTATATTGTTAATAATTTTTAATTATTTTTTATATAGAGAAAAATTTTACCTTCTTTAAATATTTTGAGATACTTAAATGAAATGAAGTGACCAGTGTCTGAAGATTAAAGACTTGAATAGTGCTGTCCTTTTGAAGTTTTTAGTAAATGATTATAATAGCCAGTTTTTTAAAGATTTATTTTATATGTATGAGTGTTTTACTTGGATATATGGCTATGTACCATTTACATGCCTGGTACTCAGAGGTCAGGAGAAACTGTTGGATTCACTGGAATTGCAGTTATTAACAGTTATAAATTGCCATCAGGGTGCTGGGAATTGAGCCCAAGTCCTCTGAGAAAACAAGGGTTCTTAATCCCTTAATTCCTTAATTCCAGTCCTGTGATAGCTTACTTTTCTTAAGTGTTTTAATCCAAAATCTTGAAAATCTATTAGTGGGTATATACAAATTGATTAGTATATTTAATAAGTAAATATTATAGAAAAGTTAGTATAAAAATAAAAAGAATTAAAATTCAAACTTCATTAGTACTTTCTTGTAGTGTTTTATGTTTTTATAATCATATTTTAACAGTAAATTTTAATTAAATTGTAATTGGACAAAATTACTAAAATAGCTGACTATTCATTAAATCATTAAAGTTTTGTTTTATTTTCCTTTTTATCTGCTGTGCTACATCTCAAAATACTGGATTGTTTCCTCAGTGTAGAGCCCATCAAGAGTATTCATAGGCTGTAGGATTAAAATGGTGTTATTGAATTGATTTCCTGGATACTTATCATTACAAACTCACATCTTAAATATTCTTTTAAGTTGATTCTTGCCAATAAGTTTTCATATATAATTGTATTTACCCTTTTTTTGATTAACAGTCTTCATATCCCATGCGTGTGAACAGATGCAAGGAAATTCTTACCAAAGCTATCCATATGAAAAAGTCTTTAGAAAAGTTTGTTGGAGATGCAACTCGCCTAACAGACAAGCTGCTAGAATTATGCAACAAATCGGTACCATCACAGATCTTAGTGCTTATCAACCAATGTGAAATAATGTTATATAGAAGCTTACATGTGATTTGGGCTTATATGTTTCATTAAAGTTTTTAAGTACATTAGTATACACATATCAAAATATATCAAATGGTATATTTTAAATATGTATCTTTATATCTGCCCCACCCCACCCCACCCCATTTCTTGATATGCTAAAGATTGAATTAGAAACTTGATCTTGCTAAACAAGGGCTTTACTGCTGAGATATACCTCTCTGCCCTCTGTATGATTTATCTTAATAAATCTGTTTTTATTAGTTTGTAATATATGTCCCCAATGTTTCTGAATTTTTCTGAAAGTATATTTCAATAGTTATCAATAGTTTTAAGTAAAAAATACTAAATCAACTGTAAAATATATATAAAATGCATTAAAGCAGTTTCTGATTATATTGTCATATCCTTAAGCTTTGACAACTCATATGTTAATCTACATATATGGTAGGAAAGAGAATGGAGGGGTTTTTGTTTGTTAATTGGTTGCCTTTTTATAGTGCTAGATATTAAACCCAAGGCTTTATCCATGATAGGCAAGCACTTTATACATGAGCCCTTGATTTTCACTTTTTTCAGGGTATATTTCAGTGCACAGTCATTGTGATGAAGGAACAAAGATGACTAATAGAAATCTGTCTAGAATTGCTGGTATATTTGTAAGGATCTAAGCAATGGCTGTCATCTGGAGTAGTAATTATTATTTTCAATATGCTTGTGACTGAAGTAGGAAGGTGGATACAAGGGTAAATCACTGTTCTGTGTAAGGACTAGGGGAAAAAGCTAAATGTAGGAGAGATTAAATTATATGGGGGTGATTATTAAAAGGAAAAATTCTTTATCAAGTAAACAGCTAGTTCACTTGATGATCAAAATCCAGAAACCATTTCTAGGTAAAAACATACAGGTCACCCTATTTTTTTCCTCTTCCTTTCATGAATAAACTGTTCTCAAAAGCATAATCTTTCATTATTTCCATTAATTCTACTTGACTTCTGATGTACTTGACACTAGGAAACACTTATGTATTGGATGCTGGCCCTGTAAGTGCTTTACATGTTCAGGTGCTTAGTCCTTTATCTGAATCCTTAGTTCTTTATTGGAAACTACACTTAGGAATTCAATTTTTATTCTGATTTTAAAGGTATTCATACTTATAGTGGCTATTGTAACTGATGATAATGTATCGGAATATCCCATAATCAAAACACACAGAGCATTCATGTTTACATTAAGAAATTCAGGATCATTTTGTTGCTAGATGAAATTTGGTAACCAAAGTTATTTATAGATTTTCTTATGTCTGATAATAGGTCTCTGGTTTCTACTATCTCCTCTGATCATTAAATACTCTATAATAGAGTAACGTTATTTATAAGGTAAAAGAGGTTTAAATGAGATGATTAGAAAATACTTAGGACATTGCACACTGCTTTGTAATTGAGATTGTAAAAGGAAAATGTTTACTGTGATTAATGTTCTGTGATTCAAGGTTAACTCAGAAAAATTGAAATATACTGTTTGCTTGTTTTTTTCAGGTTGATGGAAGTAATTCCACCTTAAGCATGAGCACTCACTTTAAAATGCTTAAAAAGCTGGTAGAAGACCCAACATTTAGTGAAATCCTCATCCCTTTGCAGTCAGTCATGATACCTACTCTTCCGTCAATTCTGGGTGCCCATGCCAATCATGACCCCTTTCCTGGGCATTGGGCCTATCTTGCAGGCTTCGATGATGTGGTAAACTTCAGTTTTATATAACTGTAACTATAATTCTTAAATGTAGTTAAGTTTATATCTACAAATTAAGCTAAAAATCTAAGTGAGTTTCTTTACAAACCTTAGAAATGTAGAGAAGTGAAACCGTCTTATCCTATAGTACAAAGTTAAGTGATAAGGAATCCTAACAAGCCTAAAAGTTTGACTTTCACATGCTCTTATTTCGTGGTTATTTTTTCATAATTGTATTTTCCTATATTTTCTTTTGTCTTAGAAAAATGGAGAGGAAATGGAACAAAATACATTTTTATTTGTTTCTTATGAGGAAACAAGATTCAGATAGCTTTTTATTCTCTATGTGTGCATGAGTTATATGTGTGTGTGC